GTCTTTAATGCATACAGGTGTAATTCACCATTACCAGAAGATGTTGCGAGAGACTTTGGTCACGAAGATACTGCGCAATATCTTGAATCCATCAGTAAAAGGTATCGTGTATATTTCCATTAAATACTCATTTTATACCAATTGAAAGTACAGCTAATTATCATATGGTGACGTGAGGGGATTTCCAAGTCAAAGATATCATTGTTACAAATTCATTTAAATGAGAGCTTGGTAACTGGCTGCTTAATGACAATTAGCCGGCAACTCAACAAGTAAGTCAGGAAATATACGAAGTTGCTTTCATTTGATGTATTATTTTCGCCATTTTATTTCAGAGCACGTTTGAATTTCTGTTATAATTACAATTCTTTAGGGACTCCTTTTAAGGCGAAAGAAAAATAACATCTCAATTAGTCAGGGTCGATGAATTGAAGTTCCCCGGTTACATCCATTAATTCCTTAAACCAGAGTAACATCTAACCATGTCTGATTGTCCAATTGTATGCTTTGTTAAACTTTAATATATCTCAATTTCTTGCTTAAAGATCTTAGTATGTCAGCTGTAAAGGTGTGTTCTATATTTGACATCTGCGTGTAGTGAATCGCACTTAATAAAAATCCCGAACGAACCCCAAAATACAGGCATCACAAGTTACACGGTCAACAAAACAAAAACCCCCCTCAAGCATCAGCTATGAGTAAAAACCAGCCATCTTGAGGGCAATATTTTACTTAGATTTTTTTCAGTACGAAAAAAGTTTTGGGATTTTCAGCATCAACTTTAAAGTAAACCCAATTAACGGTTTGTTTGATTAGCTAAGTTGGAAATGTAAATTGGCGACAGTAAAGAGTTTTAAAGCTGACGTTTCGAGCGTTAGGCCTTCGTCAAAGCGATAACCAAGGGCTAACGCTGGAAATGTCAGCTTTAAAACTCTTTACTGTCGCCAATTTACAATATCAACTCAGTTGATGAAACCAAATTATCTGGTCATGCCCTCCACCGACGTAATACCACAGTTTCTTTAGATATGTACCATTTTCATCCATCTGAGATTTGTTGCTTGATTAGCTAAGTCTAAATTTTATTTCTATGTATAGATTGTCTGAAGATTTAAGCGTTAATGAAGAAGACTTACAAGCGAGTCATATTTTAGAGCTTGCTGAGGCAGTCAAAAATCAATCGAGTAAGTAAACGCGACAAGCCTTCCTAATTCCTATAACAAACGGCCCACCGCAGTGCTCTTCAGCTACTTTCAAAAATTCTCAAAATCGAAGGAAATTGGTAATAAAGACCTCCAAAGAAACGCTTGCCATTGTCCTGAAATTGCCGAGAAAGTTACAGTGAATGAATGCCCCCATTTGAATATAAAAATACCTCCC